TAACTCTTTTGAACTTGCACAATCACTCACGTGTCCGCAGATCATTGAACTGTCTCTTTACCTATACCTGTATTCTACAGTTCAACATCCACGTCAAAAGAAACTTAATCGCGAATCTACGATAAAAAAACGGATACAAGAGAACTGCAGTTACTGCATGTCGTGTCGGACAGACAACACGGGGATGTGGCCACCCATCAACACAGCTGACCAAAGCGCCCATAAAATATTATCAATCAGGGATCACAGAGTAAAACAGAAAAGCTTGTGTTGTGAATAAAACCGTCAAAACACTTTCCATAATCATAAGAAATCTCTGCTAAAAGCAGAGCCCATTGTACGATTCCGACTTTATGATGAGCATGCGTTTATGAATCATTATCAAATGGTAATGATACTAGTAGTTCGCGAACATGTGATCCCATCCTGCTCCACCGATGGTATCAGTCACAAACACATGCAAAGGCAGAGCAAACACAGGAAACCAAGTTACTCGTCATTTTGATAACTGATGTGTCAAATTAAGAAATGGCCTCGTGATCACCCTAAAACATTTTGAAAAAAAAACAGTCCTTGAATGTTGTCACCGTGATCAACAAACGTTTGAGCAAGATTCGTAGAAAAGCACGACACTCAACCTAGATCTGCTGGAATATAACACGACATAAAGAGAAAGATTCACCAGTCTCTTTTATTTCTGGTTCAGGCGGGTAGATCAATTGAAGGGAATTGACTGTCTAGGGGATTAATCAATTAATCTTTATTTACACATATACTGAAAGGCCACAGGCCTATATAGTGCAGATTGCAATGGATAGTGTAATAAACATACGTTTAATGAATCTTTAACAAGAAGTTTTTATACGCCGACTCCGTGGTCTAGTGGTAGAGCGTCCGCCCGGAGAGCGGAAGGTCCGGGGTTCGATACCCGGCCGCGTCATACCAAAAGACGTTAAAAGATGGTACTTGTTGTTACCCTGTCTGGCGCTCGGCATTAAGGGGCTAAAACAGGTCGGCTCGGAGTCAGTATACTGTGTCTGAGTGGGGTATCCATGTTAAACTGCAGCATGGTATCTAAGTGAGCTAGCACTATAAACTGGACTGGACTAGTAAAAACACACACAAACACACACACGTGCATGCACGTCGCTGTATAAGTGCAATAATTTTGGACGCGACGTTAAACCCAATTTCACCTCACCTCACCTACAAACTCTATCTTCTAATACGTGTCTGTTCAATGTTAAGAGTATGCGATGAGCATCTTATTTGAGGAAAATACATTATATTGTTTTTGCAAAATAGGTTTCAAAAGAATTTGAAACCTAAGTTTAAAACAGTACATATTCACATTTTGTTGATAATCTTAATGCCAAGTTACACATTTTTGTATATAAACATCCTTTAGTTTTTGAGTGACCATGTTTATACAATGTTCAGGGTATTCTTCCTTTTCTACATAACCCAAACCAAATTCATTCATATTTTCCTGAACAGATAACACTCAATCTACGCTTCCAGAACTATATCATACAATAGCGTCATTTCATAACATGTTCTTGGGTATCTGTAAGGAGGCCTGTGTAATAATTGTACCCAATACGGTATCATGTTAATCTGCGTACAGTAAAGTACGGTTATAACGAACTCAAAGGGACTACTAATTGTAGTACGTTATAACCGTAGTTCGTTATAAGCATATATACAGTATAACAACAGCAAATAGTCGGGACCAAAAAAGTAAGTTCGTTATATCCGTCAGTTCGTTATAAGCGTGTTCGTTATAACCGTAATTTACTGTTTATATAAATAATAGATATCCACCACATTCACCATACACAACTGCAATTGCTCAATTTATCTTAAATCCTCAAACACGTTTACATGCATTGGCGTGTACTCTTTAAATAAAGTCTAACTTCGAGATACCCCATATCCTAGCCCCTTACAACGAAATAGGATCAATGTTTTTATCTAAAATCTCAATAAATACATCAAAGTTTGTTTAGAGTGTTTAGAAAGGCTAAAAAGATCTTTCTTTCCTGGATGGCAGGTAATGATTTCGGAGACGAACAATGTGAGACCGTTCACACAACACAACCCTATTTTCTCCAGTTATCTTTTTGTATTTGTAACCCAATGTATGCAACAGCTGCCATAGTTTGTACTTTGTAACAAGTAAATCATGGTCAGTTTCAAGGTGTTTCTTCAAAATTCTTAGGGACAGGTACTTATTTTCTGAAGTATGCTCTCTTGATTTGACGAGACACAAGACCACGTGATCAGCATATTGAATGCAACTGGGATGGCACACCGAACGTGGCGGCAAGTCACTTTAATGAAGAACTGTTTCCGGAAAGGCGGCTTCGTGTTGATGGACGGTGTGGCTGACAGCCGACAGTGATGAGTGAGTGAGTGAGTGAGTTTGATTTTACGCCGCTTTTAGCAATATTCCAGCTATATCACGGCGGGGGACACCAGAAATGGGCTTCACACATTCTACCCATATCGTGAATCGAACCCGGGTCTTCGGCGTGTTGAGCGAACGCTTTACCCACTAGGCTACCCGACCGCCCCACACGTTTAGAGAGGTGACTGGCATACACATGTGCACATGCCACGGTGTACTCATGCTCCAGTTGCAGTCTCATTAAAAAAAATAACATTTTCTTATTTCATTTTTGAAAAGGTTATTTCGTCTCGAGCATCAAGGTGGACCATGAATCTGTAGCGTCCGCGGCCAGAGGATACCACATATTCATGACCCTGTAAGCCAATGAACGTCACTGTAGCATCCCGCCACACTGCAGGCTTGTAATGTTCCAGGTAAGAGATGCAGACTTGGATCTGTCGCCGTAGATACGTCCCCTCCTCGTCTGTCTCTGTACCTTCGTGGCCAGTCTGGTCCCTGGGATGACCAAGAGAGGTGTTCAGAAATTAAAAGATAAACTACCAGCACAGAAGTTACCGATCACGCCTGTTCTTCTGAATAATTAAACCTGACCACTCAGTTTAACACAGCTTTCTGGGAAGCCTGTTTTTTTAACACTGATTGGTTAACTGTGATCTATAAAGATTTCGACAAAGGGCGCATGTTAATTCATTTCTTCAGCCTAAAAACAAACAGACAAAAAGAACGGCGGAGCTCATCGGATGTCGTCATTTGGAAATATCCCAGACGGTTATAGTTTAATAATAAAAACAAGTATCCATGCTGTGAAAGCATGTTCGAATTTCGGATTGCGTCGATAATACGATTACTACTCCCTTGTTGTCATCCACGTTTTCTGGTATAACCCTACACTTGTGTATTTGTCATCATTTTACTTGAGTGTTCAGTTAATGAATTTATTACTGGTACAATTAGTGGTAGCACCACTTAGTTTACCTGACAAAGGTTCCCATTTGGCATTTATTGTGTCTGGGGTAATTATCCAATCTAAATGCAGGTTTGAAGTGAGGTGAAATGGGTTTTATGTAATATACACGTGGCAGCCCAGCAAGAGGTAAATGATCAGTTGATTTGCTTTTTTTGTAAATCAGCGGATCGTTCCTAGTCATCAAAGGATGATTAATCACTGTTATCTTGCACAGTGGATATGTCAAAAGCGAGTGTTTACATGTCTAGTTTTACTAAAACAAAGGGAATGCACTCATATCATGGCGTGAAGTGCCGATGTAAAAACAACATACTTTGTTCAAAGGGTTAACTGATAATACGTTGATTGGTTGCTCATTGTTATCTGTCACTCAATGGATTTTTTTATGAACCGTGGACGCTTTGAAAATAATTGTCACGTGGGCTTTCTCAGCCGACCCTTGAGTCTTGACACCTATGTGAAACACCTGAAACAATCTAAGTCATCAGTTGAGAAACGAACACGGGTTATAATATCCCGAAACGATATATATCTTTTAAAATATTTGATTGTTACAGAGACACGTGACATCGAATAAGTTTCTTTGTACAGCTGCAGACGAGTGGGATAGTGTTCCTTTGTGTGGATATTCACGGATACATTCCTCGAATAAGGAAGCTGCCTAAAATTTATATACATAAATTTGGTAGGTTGTAATTATGGTGTTTGAATTTTGTTTTGCTTCATTTGCTGTAGCATTGAACCGATTCGTTCTTGTTCCTCTACGTCTTGGTTAGGGAAATTCTTCAATGCGCGATAGACGTTGTTTTCACAGGTCTTTTCCTTTGTCAGCGTGTACATATTACCGCCAATTTGTAAAATGTGATTCTCTCAGGCAGTTTAACAAATGTGTAAGTATTTCAGTCATTTTGACAGAAAAATCGGCCCAGATTGACTAAAATTGATAAAGACGATAAAAGGGCCTAAAAACATCACAGCAAAGGATTAGAAGCCAAACAACATAGACATGTACTTTTCAATGTAACATATTCAGTCTCTTGGTGATGACATTAAACATCAAAATGTTTGGAATTCGTTATCATAATAATACAGATGGAAATGTTTTTCAGTCACTTTGTAAAATAACTGAATATTTAGGCGTTTAATAAATTTAAAAATGTTACACATTTTGACAGTAAACAAATATACACACTATAAAAAAAGCAATGCTCAAGTGAAATATTTACTTTGTGTTGCAAGTCAAAACAGTGTAGACGAAAATCCCAAAATTACCAAGCAAGTGACTTCTCAAAACTTCGTCACCATTGCCGATGCTACCCACAAAGGTACCTACATTTCCTTATTATCTCGAAAACTGTATTTTATTTTGTTGATCAATGTGACCATACGCCCTTATTACTACCCATAAAAGTGACTAATGCGCTTACGAATGGCGCAGCAGAGGTCGCGAACTAGTCTTGATTTCTGCTATACATCCAGGTATTCCCTGGGAAAAAACAATAACAAAGGCAACAACCAGTCCCGGGGAATTACTTAAGATCAGTGCCCCTTTAACACGAACACCCCACTCAAACACAGTATACTGACTCAACCCGACCTGTCCTTGTTATAGCTCCTGAATGCCGAGCGCCAGTCAACGTAACAACAAAAGCAGGAAACGTAACATTGCGAAGTGTAGGTTTACCGAAATGCGTGCCCTGGAGATATAGTGGATGAGGTTCCTAGCATGATCAAACAACCTAAGCTGGTCGTTAAAGGCGACCAATTATTTGGAAAATAGTTCCAACATGGTGACTGTAAACAAGAGGGTACCTGCAATGGAGTTTTTTGTGCCAACGGTAGCTTTCGTCACATTAGATGCACTTTAGTAGTCATGGGCGGATATAGAGGGGGTTGCGATTATTTACAGGCCGCTGTCATGTAGCTGGAATATTGCTGAGTGCGGCGATAAACAACAAACAAATCTGGAGCAGGTAGCGAGGCTGTTTCCAAAATCGTGGAATAATCAACGTTATTAATACTAGTGACCAAACGTTCTTTATTATATGACAGTTATCTCATGTTCAAAGATACATCAGAATTTAAATTATTATCACTATTTAGGACCTTTCTTAGCACAACACCCAGATCAAGAAAACAAGCAAATTTGCATATCATGCACATGCATGTAAACCGAGAACCCCTAGAAGGTGTGTGCTGTAAAGATACTGAGATAAACACATACTGTCGGGTTGTTCCTGTTGTTATGCAGTGGATTAAAGGAAAAGTGTATTGGAGAATAACTGCTGTTTAACTTTGCATTTGCATTACGTGCACGTTTAGAGTGAGTGAGTATGGTTTTTCGCCGCTTTCAGCAATATTCCAGCAATATCACGGGGGAGGACACCAAAAAATGGGCTTCACACTTGTACCCATGTCGGGAATCGAACCGGGGTCTTCGGCGTGACGAGCGAACGCTTTAACCACTAGACTACCCGACCGCCCCACACGTTTCGAAAGGAGACGGTAACGGTGTAGTTATGCTCTAGTTGCAGTGTCATTATAGCATTTTCTTATTTCATTTTTGAAAAGGTTATTTCGTCTCGAGCATCAAGGTGGACCATGAATCTGTAGCGTCCGCGGCCAGAGGATACCACATATTCATGACCCTGTAAGCCAATGAACGTCACTGTAGCATCCCGCCACACTGCAGGCTTGTAATGTTCCAGGTAAGAGATGCAGACTTGGATCTGTCGCCGTAGATACGTCCCCTTCTCGTCTGTCTCTGTACCTTCGTGGCCGACAGTCTTGATGATCAGCTTCCCCAGCGTCCTCTTGTTGACTTCCTGCACTTGAAGCTGAAACAGGAAATACGCATCGATAAATGACTTTCGTCAACTTCAACCTGCATACACGACATCGACATGAGTGTTTGTTTGTTTTGTTTGGTTATTGTAAACAATCGAGTCTGGACCAGACAATCCAGTGATTGATATCATGAGCATCAGTTATTTGGGATACGATGACATGCATCAACCAGGTCAGCCTGTCTGACCACCCGATCCCGTCAGTCGCCTCTTAGGACAAGCATAGTCGTCTTTTACGGCAAGCGTGGGTTGCTGAAGACCTATTCTACCCCGGAATCTTCACGGGTCTGACCAAGTTCAGTTTATGTTGTGGTGCTTCCATACAATGATTATGTTCTTTAAGGTCGTGTCAGTGGGAAGAACTACGAACTACAAAAGAAAAGTTAGGAATACAAAATAAAAGATGAAACTAACTGCATACGGCGAGCTGCGAAGTAATTTCTCCTTGCTTATTAAATGAAGATTAAACTTGACACATAATGCTTGAAATCCATCTGTGCGTGTAAATTTAATATTCTCCTGAGGCGTTACTGCTTCGTTTTCATTATAAATCATAACATTTTATATAAACCTGAGAAAGGTGAATAATTGCGTGGATCGATGCTCATGATATCAATCACTAGATTGTCTGGTCCAGACTCGATTATTTACAGACTGTCGTCATAGCTGGAATATTGCTGAGTGCGGCGTTAAACAGCAAACCAACCAACCAACTAAACTTGGTCTAAGTGACATATCAAATGATGTCACTGTCACTGGGTCGAAAACCAGTCTAGTCACGGCCTGGTGATCACACCGCTCCTCCGCTTAATTTGCCCGGCTTCCGTCACCATTCGGAAAAGTCCGGCAGTCATCGTCATCCAGTGTTTTTGATTTCCTTGTCAGAGAACAAGTGACCTTAAGTAAGGATAAGATATATGGATGAACAATTTCTTTATTACAAATATGAGCGACGTTTCGGTGTAGGTTATAACTCCGTTATCAACCAAGTGATGTTCAGAGTTTGGTTGACAAGTATTTATACGGGATAGGAGGCAGTGTTTCCTCATTTGAGTAGGTTGAAGATGCAGTTACACTGGCGTGGGGAAGCCTGTTATGTACACAGAAAGATAGAACATATTTCCCGGTGTAGCCTGTTGTATGGTTTGTTTGTTTGTTTGTTGTTTAACGCCGCACTCAGCAATTTTCCAGCTATATGACGGCGGTCTGTAAATAATCGAGTCTGGACCAGACAATCCAATGATTGACAGCATGAACATCGATCCAAGCAATTGGGATCGATGTCATGTATCAACCAACTCAGCGAGCCTGACCACCTTTTACGACAAGCATAGTCACCTTTTACGACAAGGATGGGTTGCTGAAGACCTATTCTATCCCGGAATCTTCACTGGTCGCCTGAGATATGAATCAAAGGGGGAAGCCAGTAATGTAAACAGTAAAAAGGATTGTGGCTGATTGGGGTCTTCGATGAGTTGGTGGTACACCGGTGGTATGTCGTAGCCTTGGTCACGATTGATTGGTGGTTGGAGTTGGAGTCTTTTGATGTTGATGGCTTCTTGTAGTTTTCTGATTTTGAAGTCTTTGAGGTTGGTATGGCCTCAACTGCGATGGAGAGATGTCTGATTCAGCGACGAATCAAGATTTCTCCTCCGTCGAGAGGATGGAAGACCACGTCGGGGAGAACGTTATGCCGGAAACTGCGTACAGGAAGTGGACATGTTTGGTGGGGGTAGCGTTATGATGTGGGCGGATATCTCTCATCTTGGCAGGACAGGTCTGGTCCATATCCAGGTCAGTTTTACGGCTCAACGATACAGCAACGAAATTCTCCTACCACACGTCCTCCCAATTGCAGCAGACGGCAACGGTGTATTCAAGCAGGACAACGCTCTACCGCATACGCAACGGATCACAAGAGCCTGTCCACATTTTTCTCCCCTGGTCCTCCAGATCCCTGGATTCGAATCCGACAGAGCACCCTTGGGAAGAATTGGATAGACGGCTACGCCGACGTCGACCACAACGGCAGACGTTGCAGCAGTTGGCTTTTGCGTTGCAGGCCGAGTGGGCGACCATTCCCCAGGATGTGATTCGCATACTCGTCTCTGTCATGGACAGGAGATGTCAGGACGCTATCGATTCTAACGGGGGACATATGCGTTATTGATGGTAGCTGACCTTCACCATGGACATTTCCTATGTACCGATAACTGAGATGACTACAATCATCAAGTGTACTCTCTTCAATATCTTTGCTGAATACCTTGTACTGTTCCTCGTTTAAATATATTTTCCTACCTTTACGCTACGTGATTTTTTAAGAGTACATTATGACAGGACTGAAGTACTCACCAAAACAGTTGGAGCATGCGCTGACGATTTCTTTTGATATTCAACCTGAAATAAGGGTGAAAGTAAACTGCATTGTTTATCTATGACATGATTTGTTGTTGAGGTGGATGCAGAAATACATCGCCCGGGGTTCAAATATACTCCTTAGGGAGTAGGGAGTCATGAACTAGAAATGTTAATACCAAGTATTAGAACAAAGATAAGTGTTGCGACAAACATCCTATGCATGAACGTTAATGTCACACGTTTCACTGTGTTTTTGTGTTCTTATATTTGGGTCGTTGCCAATGAGAAGGCCACAAACTAATGTAAACACATCTCCGCGTTTGCCATATTCGGAAAGGGGTCTTACGAAAGCTATTGTACACTGCGCTGTTTCAATGAAATGTGTTCTATGTTTTGCATGACCAGATACTTGAAATGGTGTACGCGACATTACAGTCATGTTTATCAGAATGGTAACCAGTCACCAATTTATTGCAAATGTTCATTTGCCCCACCTACCATCACAACTGTAATGTCCGGACGAACCTATAGCGTTCCCATTCAGATGGCATTGGGTAAACGACAATATATTATGCCTTTCACAACTTGAATGAATGAACCATCCACGAAATAAACTTGTCGAAATGAGAATAAATATACCTACTTCAGGAACATATTAAAGAACACCGCAAAACCCTTTCCACGATCAAAAGAAAGTCGACTGTACGATTCTGACTGTATTATAAACGTGTGTTTATGAAATACTTTCAAATGGGGATGATACTAGGTGTTCGCGTCGTGAAACAACAGACAACATTACAGAATCTACTTACCGTGTTGCCCATGTTCACGTCGGATCAGGTAGATGTGGTGAGCGGCCGATTCACTGTGCTCAACAGACATCAATAAACCTTTCGTGGAAAAATATTTATAGAATTAGTGCTTCCCGGAATCGATCAATAAGCCATACTCGAGAGTACCCTGCAAACGTCACCCCGAACAAGCTCAACGCGTGAAGATGGGAAACGTAAGTAATCATTTCTCTCTTAATAAGAAATGTTCCAGGATTCTTTGTGAAATATTGCTGTGTAATGAAACACAGTTAGCCATGACATCGTTTGTCTGGAAACTCCAGGTTCCGGAAAATTGCTGTTATGAAACTTCACAAAAATACAAGGACTAACTCCGTATCCATGGTTCGTTTCGCCCGGAAAGTTCAAACAACAGTTAAGGTCATGAAAACCTCTTCGAAAAAGGGAAACGGTATAATCAGTACAAATATTATTTTAAGATGAAACTAGAATTATTGTGGCATCCATAAATTCTCTTCCTTATTTACTGAGGGGGCGCGATTCGCTGTGCAGATTTGCGTCCCTTGACCACGCCAGAAACCTATGATTGTGGGTTCGTATCCCGGTTCGCCCAAATCATGTTTCTAGGTTTGTCAATACCATACCCGTGCTCGTGGATTTCGCCGAAGTGGTAAATGTCCGAAACCTGCATCACTTCGGGCTTTCCTCCCACTTTGAGCTGACTGTATAACTGTAATACGGTTAAAAGCGGTGTTAAACCCAACTCACTCACTCCTTATGCACTGCCCAGGTTTATATAACACGGTTGCAATGCTCCAGGCTTGTCTTGATTTTTCGTGTTCTTTTTCTTATCTATTGTTGTGACATACAGCGGTATGTGGCGCTCAAGGGCTTTTTACTTCTAGTCCCTGTGTAATGTTATCAACACTTGTGGCAAGCCGATATATAAATGCAAAAGATCCCTCCGCTCCTCCTAAATGAATATCCTCTGTAATCTTAAGGTGACAACCCACACGCCTCTAACACACGGCGCAACGACTTGACAAACGTACCGGGCGGAGGGGTGGGGTGGGGTGGGATTGGGGTGGGGTGGGATGGGTCGGGGTGGGGTGGGGAGGGGGGGGGGGGGTGAGGGCAGAGGAGTGGCACACAGTTCACCCAACCTTTGTCAAAGAATGAGAACATATGGTATGCCATGTGTAGCGCGGTGCGGCAGATTGTGAAGCTGTTCCTGGACCTAAGGGTGACCCGGCCATGTCACACAATGAGACTTGCAGAATCTATTCACCAACGTGAACAGTTTTAGAAGCACTTTATCACTATGCATGTGGCGTCAGAATACACAACTGCTTGTCGGGGCTTTAATTTTTCACACTGGAAGGTAACAGAGTCGACTTTCTAAAAAAGCTGCCCAGGAAAATATGTTGACAGGTGTGGTCATATCTTATTTTTTTACGTATTTTGAAGAATAGTAGGCGTGATCGGTAAAATCTTTGCTAGAGTTTACCTTTTAGTCTCCAAACACCTCTCTGTGTCATCCCAGGGACCAGTCTGTGAGAGGACTCTCTAGTCCTGCGTCGACGTGCACTATGCTAATGATATTCAGTTGATTAGAAAGACCAGAAACGCAATATATCTCAACACAGCAAGACCCGTGAAGATCCGGGGTAGAATAGGTCTTCAGCAACCCATACTTGCCGTAAAAGGCGACTATGTTTGTCGTTAGAGGCGACTAACGGGTTCCGGTGGTCAGGCTCGCTGACTTGGTTGATGCATGTCATCGTAACTCTATTACGTTGATCGATGCTCATGATGTCAATCCCTGGATTGTCTGGTCCAGACTCGATTATTTACAGACCGCCGTCATATAGCTGGAATATTGCTGAGTGCGGCGTTAAACAACAAACAAACAAACAAAAATATGCAGGCAGGGGAGATAATCCATAACGCAGACAAAATTGGATGTTGCACTTTGACATTTACCTTGGCGCTCACTGCATTAGCGATTTGTTTGCAATTTAAAAAAAAATCTAAATAGTTGAAGTCTGCAGCCACTGGTCCTGTAAGAACAAAATGATTTCATGTCGCGTAAGGGGTTGAAGTAGCGTAAAATTATTGTCCCCCTAACAGGGTATGTCAGCCCCACATCATTCAATGTATTGTTATGCATACCAGAATTTTAAAACGTAGTATTTTTGTCATTTTAATCTAAGGCTTAACTGGTAAACTATCGCCAGTGACTGAAGGGATGATATAAATTAAATCCAGCCAGGGCCCATGCAGGAAGAAAAGGCATTGTAAGTCACCATGGTCCCTGGTATGGTGATCTCCAATTAGTTACTGACGATCTCTAGACCATTTTTATATTGTGTTGTAAATTCTTTCTGCTTTTATATGTTCCTCAACTAGCTTTAATACACTCTGTGATATTCTAGTTATTGTACTGCCCTTTGATGACAGGTTTTTATAAAGTATATATACTTATATGTTATTAATGTATTAATTCTCGTCACTATATTGCTGAAATATTGCCGATGTTAAATACTCACTCACTCACTCATGTCGCGTAAGAACGAATAATTGGTATAGTTGACAGCCACATCCCGTTTTGTCGATCAGGTAATCTGACACCTGGAATATGTCGCACTGAAAGCTTAACACTGTGTCCAGCGGCCAACCAACACAGTCAGGCTATAGACCGAAACAGGCTATAACGTCACGGTTGAGTGATTTATATATTTGAACAATATAGACTTTTCATTTCTTAGTATCTGACATTTGTTGAAGTGTTGCCAACATCTGGCCATAGATATGCATGCTCGCTCTTGATTGGACGTAGTCATGACAACCCATGTAAACCTTCCGGGTACATTCTGCGTATTATTGTCGGTCAAGTCAAGTGAAGTGTATCCTCATAAATCACAACATGTGATACAGAGAGGATATAAATACATCTGTACACATATACAGACATAGATATGTTCAGTGAGAATTCGTAGATTGTAATAATAAAGCTTGGAGTTGATTGCTTAACTCTAAGTATACGCTTGAAATATTTCAAATGGATTCTTTCAATCATAACTGACTTTACAACGCCCCGCAGTTCAGAGGCGTATAATATTGGTTGAATGGTGTGGTATGGTTATCGAATTATGTTAATAGACTTAACTTATGCATCATGCATTTTGAATCTCTGTCCGAGTCATTATTAAGATAATTAGTAACTCTATCACATCGATTGAAGTGGGTGAGGTGAATTGGGTTTAACGTCGCGTCCAAGATGATTGCACTTATAGAGCGACGTGCATGTACGTGTGTGTGTTTGTGTGGCTGCTTGTACTAGTCCGGGCTGATGCCGATTTATAGTGCTAGCTCAATGAGATACCATGCCGCAGTTTAACATGAATACCCCACTCAGACACATTATACTGACTCCGAGCAGTCCTTGTTTTAGCCCCTTAATGCCGAGCGCCAGACAGGGTAACAACACGTACCATCTTTTAACGTCTTTTGGTATGACGCGGTCGGGGATCGAACCCCGGACCTTCCGCTCTCCGGGCGGACGCTCTACAACTAGACCACGGAGGCGGTCTCGATTGAAGTAGACTGTAACTGTCAGTCGAGACAAAGATGGAGTCGATACTGCGATAGACGATGTGCAATTTTGTTCACTAGGATGGGTCGTATCGAGGATATTCGTGAACGATCATCAGTCAAACTCTCTGACCTTTCTCAATACATTCTCAATGTATTCTCAATGTCCAAGATTAAAGCGTCTAAATGATCAGATGTTTGTGACAACAGGGGCGTGATTAAGACACCAAGACGTTCGTGCATAGCGGGAGTAAACCCCCCAATCAGACTACAGATTGGTGGCTGCTACTATTTTGCTACATTGGCTATGTATAGTTCGAGAAAGATAAAATAAGCCCAACATATGTGGAATACACTATAAACTATCAAATGATATATCACACATACAGTCAGACGCCGTACAACTCGCTCACAGTGAACACAGTCCAGGAACAAACTAAAACGCCCAGACCCTAACCCCCTTATCCTCCTGAATTATATTTTTTGGCTGGCTGGGAAACCCATGCAGCTGTAAGAAAACAATTCGCCGAAACCATCACAGTTACTGTCACAACAATTAAAATACTGAGAGAACTCAGACATTAAGTATTAATATTTCTCCACTGTTATCCACTCAGTGTATCAGTCGATATAGTTCTAAGTGAACGGTTGTCAATGTATCATTAATTATAAGTGGACACACCTGACAGCACTGTGTAACTGGGGGCTAGACATCTACAAATAACGGATCAATATCATGCAACGACACCTGAATAAGTGGACACACCTGACAGCACTGTGTAACTGGGGGCTAGACTTCTACAAATAACGGATCAATATCATGCAACGACACCTGAATATGGAAACTTTAGGTGTCGGCCACACGCGAAGAGACCATAACGTGATTATTTTATTCGTCGTAGTCCCACGATGTTACACTATGAAATGACATCATTTGCAAATTAACAAATGCAGTCTGGTCAAAGTCCGAAGATTCTGTTTGTGATACAATAAGCAGTGTAAATATTTTCCAAACTCCCATGCACACACACACCACCACACAAACACACACACACACACACACACACACACACACACACACACACACACACACACACACACACACACACACACACACACACACACACACACACATGATTGTTTGCCTAACGTAGCAGGTTCCCTTTGACGTCGGCGTACACTTCTCGATGACATGCATCAACCAAGTCAGCGAGCCTGACCACCCGATCCCGTTAGTCGCCTCTTATAACGACAAGCAGAGTCGCCTCTTACGGCAAGCATGGGTTGCTGAAGACCTATTCTACCCCGGATTGCATTCACGCAAAGTGGAGACGTTACGTGTTACTGTAAATAATGAAAATCAACAATACCAACGGCTCGGCCCGATTTTGTTGACCTTTCAGCGTATGGTCATAAGTAAGCATGACCTCGCTGTAACCCGCACGGAGGAAGTGCATAGTGTATGTGCAATGATTTGGGTGTGTTGGTGCGTTAGGTGGTTGTCCCCAAGCCGTTATATCTGTGGCAGAGAATGACCAGACTAGAATATTAGGAATTATTTAATCTTTGTGAATTTGTAATTCCCTCTATTTCCTTTTCAGGGTGCCACAACACAACTTCCGGGACACCTGGATGTGAGTATGAAGCCAAAACAATGCTTTTTGGGCTATCAAGTATCTTCTTTCATCACTAACGTTGCACTTAATCATAATATTCCAAAACATGAACGCATGCATTGGTTTATGTGGGGGTCCAAAGAGTTCTCTATATTTGAAGTTAACACGTCCCATTTTAATTTTGGAAACCCAAAAGTCCAGAAACTCTGCGGTCTTTGCCCAGTCTGGTTAAAGGTATTTACAAAATTAAACATGCTGTTTTCATGGGAACATACCAAGGAAGAAAAAATGAAACAAAATGTGTTCAAAAACCCAATATTTACACTATTTCGCCCACGGGCCTGCCCATGGGCCTGCCCATGGGCGAAGACTGGCCCATGGGCGAGAATATGTTCCTTTACCCAAAACTCATGTTTTTGTTTCGCAAATACATTAAATGTATTCATTCAAGTATCATGACACCAAATTTAACTCATTTTAACTTAATTCAACGATTTAATAGCGATATTGAAATATTTCGCGCATGGGCGAGAAAAAAGGAATGGCCAATGGGCAGGCCCATGGGCGAGAATATGTTCCTTTACTCAAAACTCATGTTTTTGTTTCGCAAATACATTAAATGTATTTATTCAAGTATCATGACACAAAATGTAACAAAATTAAACTCATTTTAACTTAATTCAACTATTTTATAGCGATATTGAAATATTTTGCCCATGGGCGAGAAAAAGGTTTGGCCCATGGGCGAGAATATTTTCCTTTACTCAAAACTCATGTTTTTGTTTCGCAAATACATGCGGGTGTTCTTACCATTTTCATCGCACATAATGTAACACAATTTTACTTAATTCAGCTATTTTATAGCGTTATTGAAATATTTCGCCCATGGGCGAGAAAAGGTTTGGCCCATGGGCGAGAATATTTCCCTTTGCTCAAAACTCATGTTTTAGTGTTGCATATACATAAAGGTGTTCTTAGAAGTTTCATGTCACATAATTTAACAAATTTTAACTTAATTCAGCTATTTTACGGCGTTATTGAAATATTTCGCTCTGGACGAGAAAGATTGGCCAATGGGCGAGAATATTTTCCTTTGCTCAAAAGTTTTAGTTTCGCGAAAATACATTAAGGTGTGTCTACAAGCATGACACATGATTCAACTATTTTACGGCGTTATTAAAATATTTCGCCCATGTTTTCATCAGTCCCTTTAAAGCATCAACTAACCGTGTGCAAAGTATATTGTATCGTGTTAAATATACTTTATATTATATCATTACATTACTATTTAAAGATATACCTGCTGTCGGTCAATTACGATCTACCACACCACGTGTGAATAAACAGTTATGCAGGTGTTGCCGTGGGGAAAAAAAACCTAGCCTGAAAATGTTTATTTTTTTTGTGGATACATGTTTTACAAATGTTCGTTAATATGTGGATATATTAAGCACAAAGACAAACAAATGTTTATGAAAGATGAATTAGTGCCTTGAAATATTCATCAAGATGTGTATCATCGTTTAATGGGGTAGGTATGAAATATACAGGTACGCGTGCGCGTATTTTAATGAAAAAAACTATTCGTCTTTTATTGCATTACGTTTGGTTGAATATCTTACATTCTAACGAAATCTCGAAATAATTATTTAATTACATGCGGTGGCGAACTGACCAGTGGGAATTTTGTTTCAATGCGATTGAGGAAAACGTGAGTGAATATTGTGACACAATCGACTTTAAACCGCACAGATGTATCTTCAAATGTGTTACATCTATAGATTAGTATTATATCTACCTATATACCACTTTATAATGTCACGGTACATCAGTATTTAAAGAAAACAAGGGGCTCAAAGTGAAGCACTTTTACCGTATTTTCTTAAGAAAATCCAAGTCAGAAGTGTTCAGTCCGACTTGGCCCGTGCTGTCAAAATCAAATTAAACCTCACAGATGTGTCATCAAATGGATTCACATCTATAGATTAGTATTATATCCACCTAAATACCACTTTATAGTGTCTCAGATGGCTGCACTTAAAGAAAACAAGGGGCTCAAAGTGAATCCCTTTCCCCTCTACATTCTCAACATAGTCTCGATCAGAAGTGTTTGGCTTGTGTTGGGTCCGACTTGGCCCGGGCGGTCAAAATCGACTTTAAACACACAGATGTATCTTCAAATGTGTTTACATCTATAGATTAGTATTAAATCTACCTATGTACCACTTTATAATGTCCCAGTGTATCGCATTTAAAGAAATCTGAGCCGTTAAAGTCAAGCACTTTTACTGTATTTTCTTAATACAAAATGTCAAAATCAACTTAAACCTCACAGATGTATTATCAAATGGACTCACATCTATAGCTAAGTATTATATCTACCTATATACCACTTTATAATGTCACGGTACATCGTATTTAAAGAAAACAAGGGGCTCAAAGTGAAGCCCTTTCCCCTCTACATTCTCAACATAGTCTCGATCAGAAGTGTTTGGCTTGTGTTGGGTCCGACTTGGCCCGGGGTGTCAAAATCGACTTTAAACACACAGATGTATCTTCAAATGTGTTTACATCTATAGATTATTATTAAATCTACCTATGTACCACTTTATAATGTCACGGTACATCGTATTTAAAGAAAACAAGGTGCTCAAGGTGAAGCCCTTTCCCCTCTACATTCTCAACATAGTCTCTATCAGAAGCTTGTATCTTCAACTCTGCACAGCGAATCGCGGCGTCTTAGACGACTGGGCCACCCGTGCCCCCGACACACAAGAGACTAAGTAACATCCACGCATCATTGGGAATATCAAAGTAAGTTTATACAGCAAACTACGGTTATAACGAATTCAAATGGAACATTAATTGTAGATCGTAATGATTTAGTTCGCAAGACAATGGGCAATGGGCAAGCATCGTGTCCTGGAGATGATGGAATCAAATTTCACACCAACCGTTAACTATGGCAAAACTCAACGATCGTGTCAATTATGCAAAGTGTCATTAATTTGACTTGGGGTGTGTTATTCATGATGCAGTGTAATATGATCTGGACAGTAAAGCAGTAGAATAACGTGAAACAAATTATTCATGATAATTTCCGTCGTTGTGTTCATGGCTATTCACAGTGACAAACATAAACAGACGGCAGACTATCGTTGTCACAACATAATATCCCCTTGTTCAAGTTGGCGATATAATTTATTCATCTGGAAGATATTGGAATTCAAACCACAGTGAATTACACTACGCTTCAGTGCATTTTTACAAAATAAATCATATGAAACCCATACCTATTGCTGATGTGATCTCTGCTGTCACGTTGTCATTTCCAGTTTGGTTGTCTCAAACAACAATCAGTAACGTAATCAGTGGCGTTGCTTTTCAGAGGCCTATTCGGGTGCTATTGTGGCCTTACAGTAATAGTGATCGCTAAGCACGCCGCAGACTCGAGTTCCAATTCAAATGTGTATCTTACTCATTCCAGAGAAAAAGTGTGTCAATGTAAACACAACAGGTTCTCAGGATTCGGATTTAAGTCCCAAAAGGAACAGAGGCTGTGTGTGTTTTGACTAAACACGTTATGCCATATAACACAATGCGGGATCTCAATATCCCCAAATCTAAAAAAATCCACAAAACAATTGTATTTATGTTAATGTTTTAATTCTTTAGTTACCGCGTCCCTTTCGCGCGTCAATGCGTTTATAGCAATTCCACTGTTGTAACAATCGTTATATCAAACTGGTGCAGAGTCTTGGGGAAATGTAATGACTGCAATACAATCAAGCATGTCAGAAGAGATACGTCGTTCCTTTTGTGAAACCATTAAAGTCTGTAAGTGATCAATCACATATTCTTATTTGATAATATTTCTTAAGAAAATACAGTAAAAGAGCTTGACTTTAACGGCCCAGTTTTCTTTAAATGCCATACACTGTGACATTATAAAGTGGTATATAGGTAGATATAACACTAATCTATAGATGTAAACACATTTGAAGATACATCTGTGTGTTTAAAGTAGATTTTTACCGCCCGGGCCAAGTCGGTCCCAACACAAACAAGCCAAACACTTCTGATAGAGACTATGTTGAGAATGTAGAGGGAAAAGGGCTTCACTTTGAGCCCCTTGTTTTCTTTAAATACCGCGATCTGAGACACTATAATGTGGTATTTAGGTGGATATAATACTAATCTATAGATGTGAATCCATTTGATGATACATCTGTGCGGTTTAATTTGATTTTGACAGCCCGGGCCAAGTCGGACCGAACACTTCTGACATAGATTTTCTTAACAAAATACAACATTTGTTTGTTTTATCGACATTTCAAAGGCCTTTGATAAAGTTAACCGTGATTGCTTATGGTACAAGCTCAACAAACTCGGAATTAAAGGAAACTTTCTAAGAGCTGTGAATTCAATGTACGCCTCAACGTGGTCTAGAGTCAGTGTCAATAATTGGTACACAAACCAGTCTACTCTGGTGTGCGCCAAGGGTGTGTGCTTTCCCCTACACTCTTTTCTGTGTATATCAACGATCTTGTGGATGAAATCAACTGTCTGAATTGTGGGATTAATATAAGTAATTATCAACTAAGTGTTCTGTTGTATGCAGACGACATTGCCTTAATTGCACCCGACGAAAGTTGTCTACAGAAGATGTTAAATTGTGTAAATACCTGGTGTACTAAATGGCGTATGTCTGTTAATTTGAAGAAAACACAAGTTATCCATTTCCGGTCAAGAGGTTCCAGTATATCAGGTGTTACTTTCACTATCGGTGAAAATGAAGTGTGTTATACTCATGCATATAAATATCTTGGTGTTTGGTTTCATGAACACCTAGATCTTAATTTCACAGCCAAGGAAATAGCCAAGTCTGCTCATCGTGCCTTAGGTGTGATTGTGTGTAAATTCAAAGCCAGTGGAGGAATGGCTTACGATGTATTTAATAAGTTATATGAAAACCTTGTGCAACCGATTCTCTCATACGGAGCTGCTGTGTGGGGCAC